GTTTTGCAAAGTTAGTTCGAATTTCCTTTCTATGGCCTCTTGAAGTTTAGATATTTTTGACCTTTTTTTCAATATAAGTGAGAATAAAAATATTTAGGCAAAAATGCATTACTTGGGCGGGCCTTAGAAAAAAAACCTAAAAAACCGTTAAAATATGGGAATTTCAGAAAACCAAAACTTTTTTGGCGGTCGGACCTATGGGACCCCTGGGGTCCAAAATAGGGGCTCGAGAATGACTTAGAATAAGTCTCTATTTGATGAGTTTTATTTGTAAATCTTGTAAAAATAAGACGAAAAAATTATATATTTTTTCCGATAACTGTTTTAGTTATCGAGTTATCGATTTTTTAAAAAATAATTTTTTCTTCGCGTGTTATTTTATGTAATTTACATATATTTTGTCAAATTTCCGTATTGTAATGGGTTAACAAACGTCGCCAGTATTTAGTCCCGTTATTGTTTATTTACTTGCTCTTGTTCATTGTTCAAACACATGACTTTACATTTGATTCAATATAAACAAAAACAACATAATTTGGTGGGTACACTACCTACAGTTGCTGGGGAATTGACACAAAGGGCATCAACATTGCCCATAGCATCAATGAGATAAGTGAATATCACAGTCGTTAATGCCTTTCAATTAAGCAGTATGTATTGAATTCTAACGGTTTTTGTTTTAATTTGCTTTTTATAACAACTGGAGCAAAGTCAGAGAAAAGCAATGTGATGAATTTTAGTAGATTTTTGAAAAGCATCGACGCTAGTCTAAAATATCGCGAACGTTTCACTGAAGTTAATTTTATTCTAAATAAAAAGTGCAATTTTTTTAGTAGAAATGGAATGTAATATTAATAACTTTTGTTACTTCTGTGGCCATTTCACTCCAAAAATTACAAAACATGGATATTTTACCGAAGAATTCAGGTGTGCCTATGAAAGTTATTTCAACCAACCAGTTATTTCTAATGTTTCCTGGGCACCAAATGTGGTTTGCAAAAAGTGTTACAGTGATCTTTTAAATTGGAAGCATAAAGTATTTAAATGTTTGCCATTTGGCGTACCGATGATCTGGACGGATCCAACCAGCCACCATAAATCAAATTGTTATGCGTGCGTAAACTCTGTTCGAGGTATGAACAGAAATAACTAAGACAGTTATCGGAAAAAAATATATAATTTTTTCGTCTTATTTTTAGAAGATTTACAAATAAAACTCATCAAATAGAGACTTATTCTAAGTCATTCTCGAGCCCCTATTTTGGACCCCAGGGGTCCCATAGGTCCGACCACCAAAAAAGTTTTGGTTTTCTGAAATTCCCATATTTTAACGGTTTTTAGGTTTTTTTTCTAAGGCCCGCCCAAGTAATGCATTTTTGCCTAAATATTTTTATTCTCACTAATATTGAAAAAAGGTCAAAAATATCTCAACTTCAAGAGGCCATAGAAAGGAAATTCGAACTAACTTTGCAAAATCCTTTGGCTGTTTTGTTTATCCAGTGGTCTACTTTCATTCCGCGTTGGAATTATTGAGGCTGATTTTTCTTGCTGCACAGTGTAATATAACCTCAAATATTGCGAAAAACCGTGTTTTTACACTTAGAGGGTAGGATATCTCAAAATTCTGACATGGTATAGAAATTCTGCAGCTAGATTGGTATTCAACACCGAAGAATCAATAAAAACCGATGCACTCAGGTGGCAAAAAAAGTTAAAATTTTTCGAACTGTGTAATCAATCAATAATCAAGAAAATAAAAAAATAAAAACTTAACTTATCTGCGTGCTAGCATTTTCAACGCGCAGACAATTTAACAAGAACGCAAGAACGTGGGTTTGCAACCTCATCTTTTTATGAATCATGGTTTGCATTTTAGTGCATTTAAATTTTTAGATTCTTGTAAATTCAGAAATTTTAGTTCAGAAAAAAGCACTAAAAAGGGCACTAGGCACTAAACCATTTTTTTTGCGTTTAAATTTTCAAAAAGCACTAAATCTAGTGCTTAAAGCACTAAGTTGGCAACTATGGTTGAAGCTCCTTTTCCTCTTCCAACATCGCGAGACGAAGATAATATTTTTTCACTTCGCTGTCGCTTGTCGAGACGCGGTGTGTAGTGTAATTAGCCGCAATCGGGTGTTGCGCGGCTGAACGCGGCTATATTGTTGCTGGCGCTTGCAAAGTGGCTACGCCCGAACTCATCGGCGGCAACGTTGTCTGCCCTGCGTTGTTTGGCATCATGCTGCTGATCGTCGAAACTTGGAAGTTATGATTGTTTGACTTCTCGGGATCGTGTATGCTGCCGTCTGCCGTGGTCCACATTACCGGTTTCTTGGCCGTTGCTGAGTTTGGTAGCACATTAATAGGTGACGATGCTTGTAATTCATTCGCCGGCGAGGATGTCGCCTGCGGGCTACTTTGGTCAACTTCCCGTGGTAATTCGTGTTTCTTATCCTTCGGAGGAGCTGTAGCACTCGTTGTGGCCATATCTTCTAGTGGATTGCAGTTAGCGCAACTCCAGCTAATTTCAGTGATACCACTGTTAACACCGACGCATTCAAAATGGTACCATTTATCGCACTGGTCACACTGCACCATACGTTAATCGTCCCGCTTGTCGCACAGGATGCAGTTATGCTGGTCAGTGGATTTTTTAAGGGCATGCCGAATTACTTTTGGGTAATTGACACTCAACTACAGGTTTAGTCGATTTTATCGATTTGGATGTAGAAATCTCGCGCACCGCGTATGAAATATTTTTTAAAGATTTGTAAATTTGTTAAAGTACGACTTTAACGAGTTCACCCACGACTCTAAACAAATTCCAAAGAACTCAAGTTTTGCGTTTAGAATATGCACTTTATTTTCCAATAATTTCAAACGAGGACTTTAAAAAATATTTGTTA